TGAAGAAACATGAAGCGGCAGTTTTGACAAAGATCCTAAACCCTAAGCCCTAAACCCTAAACCAGGACCCAAGTTGCTAAGGCCCCTGCAACATGGCCAAGAATGGCACTGGCACAGTGAAGAACCCCCACAGTTGGACCAGCAGCTTGCTTTTACAGAGTGTAAGTAGTGGCCCTCCCAAGTTATAGTAGAGATTGTATAGAGTTTATATAGGAACATTATAGGGTCTAGCTTGGCATTGAGGGTTCAGGAATATGTCCCCCATAAATGGAGAAACAAATGGAAAAGAACATGGAAAGGGAATCGAAATGGGGAGTCTGTAGCCTAAACCCTACAGTCCCCTTGGGTAGATAGAATATGGCTTTGGGTATATTATAATTAGATCGCCATGGACCCCATAGGACTATAAACCTTGGTGTGTAAGGTTCAGGGGCAAGGCAGGGACGCTCCCAAGCCCTTCGCCTCAAATCCCTGAACCCTAAGACATTGGACCCTTCACCTAAGCAGGAACATATCTTTTAAATGTTGATGCCCTTACTTCGTAAATAGTCCGTATAAAGCCTTAAGAGAAAAAATATAGGGCCCCAAGACCTATCCCAGGAAGCCCCTCCGAATCAGGCTTGCTAGGGTTTTCTCGGGATGCGTCTAAAGAACCCTAAGCCCTAAATCCTAACTCTGAACCCTAAAACCTAAACCCTGAACCCAAAAGCCTCAACCCATGAAACTAGGGACTCTGGGCGTGAGTTTAGGGCTCAGGGTTTGGAGTTGGGGTTAGAAATTTAGGGTTTAGGGTTCAGGGCTTGTGGGGTTTTGGATGATTTTGGCCCAAACGACTCTGATCCCTATTTTGGGGACCTTGAAAAAAGGTACCCCTAGTTTTGGGGAACCCCTATATAGGCCTTCGGCTTCAGCGAGTCTTCAAGGTTCCAAGTCCGGGAGCGGGTTCAATCTGGTGCCCAAAGGGTCCTTGTAGGTACATAATATTTAGTTAGGGCCCAGAAGGGGTTCGTACAGAATTGCTTTAGGGACCAAGTATGTAATATACAGCTACATGGACCCCTTGGGGCCTCACACCACAATCCGGCGCGTACCCAACCATGACGCCCGCTCCTTTGTTTTACGTCTTAGGGTTAGACTTTTGTTCTAGGTGATGGTTCTAAAAAGGCATGCGCTGAGCATATGAGATACTAACTAAGATACTATTGGACGTAGGGCGTCTCAAGTGAGAAGTACCTTTGATATCGAGGAGTACAGGATGCTTCTTTCCCATCGGGACTTCCGTTGTTCGGCCTAAATTTTGTTGTCTTACGGTGTGTCAGCGACAGAGAATTGTAGTGGTTAGCTCGCACGACGCATGATCCCAGTGCTGGAGTCATGCCCCCGAGCTCTCGACTGTGGTAATGTAGACCCTTAATGTAGGTCCCTTTAAAGGGATATATAGGGGTAATACCTAGGGCTTATATAGGGTTATGTAGGGATAATGGAAAAGAAAATGGAAACTACTATTTAGGGTTTAGGGTTTAATGCAGACCCAGGATTAATAAACCTCCCTCCTTTTAAGGGCCTTGATATTAGGATCCCTGTTACAATCCCTGTCACGGGGAGGGGGGTTATTAACCAGGTAACCCTAACATGGACCCTATTGTAATATAGTAGTTTCCATTTTTTCCACTATCCCCATTACACTCCCTATCATGAGGAGGGGGTTTATTAATCCTAAACCCTAAACCCTAATCATGGGTCTGGGTTATTCTTGAGCTCGACGAAGTAAGAACCCTCAGCTGCTCCAAAAGCTGAACTCTGAAGCACAAAGCCCTGAATTCTTCCTGAAGTCCTAAACACTGAGATAGGGGTTCAGGGTTTAGGATTTAGGGCTTAGGGTTTAGGGCTTGGGGTTTAGGGTCCAACACAGCCAATTTTTTGTCGTACTGGGACGGTTTCCTGCTTGTGAATCCTCCCCCACAAGAAAGAACTTGTGGAAGGTTTGCGTAGAGTCTTAACCGCGTAGAGTCTGAACCTTCAGTCACTTTAGGACTTGTAATGTTACTTCGCTGAGGCTCCATGTCTATAGGTAATACCTACATTGGGCCCCAATGTCTACAGCTAGTACCTACATTGGGCCATTTGGAGCCCTAGGGCTTGGGTAGGTAGTATACTGCCTTTTCCCATTTTAGTGGCTGGATTCTCTCCCCCACCCCACCCTACACCCTAAGCCCCATGGACCCTAAACCCTAGCCACCCTAAACCCTAAAACCCTCAACCCTGAACCCTGGGGCTGGTGGAGTTTGTCTTTGTAAGCCTTGTCAGCGCGCTCACCGTCTGAGCCTCCGAGATCCCATTCTCGGCCGCAACTTAGGGTTCAGGGTTTTGGGGTTATAGGGTTTAGGGTTTAGATCCGAAACCTCAAGCCCCAAGTCCTCAACCATAAGCATCGGTCCCTGAGTAAGAGCTGAACTCCAAAGCAAAGCCTTAAAGCCACAAGCCTGATATGGGAATAACTTATGTGATACAAGGACCCATGATGGAGAATTACGTGGACAAACGGAAAATGAAGTGGAAGCTGAGTGGTCTATGAGGATTCCAGGGCTTCCCAATCAAAATTAGGGGTCATACAACAGAGTGTTCATTTTCTTCTCCCAAGCCCTAAGCCGTAAGCTAAAGCAACGCCAATGTCCTAAACCCTAAACCCCAAAACCCTAAACCCCTAAACTCAAACCCTAAACCCCAAACCCCAAAACCCCAAGCTGAGGCAACGCCAATGTCCTGTGGGTTGACCAGCCAGCCGCCACGGGTTTCTCCACGGGCTTGCCCTTGGTGCCTTGACCTAACCCAGAGGGTCCATGGACCCAATAATTAGGTCCCCTTTCAAGGGGGGATATATAGGGGTATGTAGGGATATATGGGGGTATAGGGTTTAGGGTTTGGGGTCCATGTTCCTCTTGGGATTTGGGTAATAGTAATTATAGTACAGGTTTTGGGTGAGTATATGATTATTAGGTACTTGGACTCTTAGGGTAAGTCCTAGAATGGGTACATGACGATTATATTTTATGTGTTGAATGGACAAAAGGTGCTTGGGGGGCAAGCCGTAAAAGGGAGTATGTAGTGCTTGAAGAACGAGAGCGGAAGTCAGAAGCTGCGATTTAGGCTTTGGGGTGGTGAATGTAGCGGCCGAATCAGTGGAAACAAGTGGAGAATCAAATACGCAAGTCAATGGGAACTGGGCTTAGGGATTATACGAGTATTGCACTGGGTAGCAGAAGCCCTGAGATTTAGGTATTGTGGCTTGACCTTCCAAAAACACGTAGGTTAATGGCTTATAAGGGCAAACCAACCCTAAACCCTAAACGCGGCTGGTCCACCTTAGGTTCCGACCTTGTAGTTTCTCAAAATCACGGGTACCTAATCTTCCCTCTGTTTTGCTGGGAATGAAGGAATGGAAAAGAAAAAGGAAACGACTATAATGTGTTTATACAGGGACTACTATAAGGATCTATTCCTGCCTAGACTCTCAACCCTAACCCCTAACGCCTGAATCATAAACCCTAGACCCTGAACCCATAATGGGTTACTATGAGGATCCATTCCTTCCTATAGCTAACCAAGGGTAAGCTAATGGGGATCCATAGCATGCGCAATGAGTTCTCCATTGCAAGGCCAGTTTGCCACATCATTGCAATTATGAAGAAGTACATGAGCCATCGTCTAAACTCCTCAAAGGTGTTTTTTAGGGGATTATATAGGGTTTAGGGTTTAGGGTGGTCCAGGGTTCAGGGTCTAAACTCCTCAAAGGAGGACTATTTGGGGAACTACTATGGGGATATTAAGGGGGGATACTAGGAGTGTAGATTATGGCTCACTACAGCTACACAAGAGGTGTGCGCCTCATGTGTGGTCCTCGTTATACCCCCACAGAGACTCAAAGAGGACCCAAACCCTAAACCCTAAACCGCCAGAAGCCTAAGTAACCTTGGTGAGACTCCAACTTTGTGAATCAGGTTTACAAGGTTTGGGGCAGGGTTTAAAGAGGTGAAGCATGAGTGTTTAGGGTGGCAGGGATGAGGGTTTGGGTTTGATTATGGTTAATGGTTTAGGTTTTATAGGCTCAGGAACTCAGGGGAGGGGATGATCGGGTTGAGTGGTCGGGGCTTGGAGGCCAATGGCTTCATCAAGACTGATTCTCACGGCAATGTATGATTTCAAAGCAGGGGCTGTATGCAGTTTCAGCCCTTGGTGCTTAGGATTAATTTGGGGTCCTGACTAGTAGCGTAAGGCCCCCCCACCTGAACAAAAATAGGATCCTAATTAATATGTAGGGCCACCCCCCGCCGCCGCCCCCCCAAACGAATCTGGATCGTGGGCTTAAATTAAATTCAATAGGACAATGGGAGGGATCAGGATCGGCTCGGTACTGGATCAGAAGGGTTTTAGAAGGCACGTAGAATTGTTTCTATTGAATTATTCTCAGAAATCGATTTTTTGGAAGCGCAACTTCGCACAATTAAGGGCCCCCAAATCATACTGGGGGTGTTGAATAATCTTGGCGAAGCTTCGCACAGTGAAGGCCCCCCACACTAAACGGGGTCCAACATTATACCAGTACAAGGACTGGAGCTTTGCCATCACCAGTGGGTGTTCTATAGTGAGAGGACTCATGCCCTGATGCATTCAAGGTCACGCAGTGCAAACCTCTTCCCAAAGAGGAACCAAGAAAGGAACTAAGAAAAGGAGCAATCGGGTGATTAGATCTTGCAGAGCTGCATGGCTCCATAGCGCCTCATGCCGACGCTGCGCCAATGCTTGTATGAAACGCGGATTCTTTGTTTTTTTTTTTTTTGTTTTCTGTTTTTGTGCTGTCGGAGTTGAAGCTAGAAGCGCGCAACTTACACGTATCATCCCCTTGTACTCCTTCATATAAGCAACTGTAGCATGATATGCTGCAGGCCTTTAATCCTAGAGGCTCCAGCATGATTTCAGCCATACAAGCGTTGGTACCTGAGGTGCATGATGAGGATGGTGTGGCCAAGAACATGTACAACTTTATGCAGGATGTCAGGGCGGGGCGCTTTAAGGCGTTTAAGATTGCTTGAGCCCATTCTGGGAAAGCTTCACGCAAGTAGACACGGACGGTCCAATCAAAACTTTGAGCCTCCAGTCCGGTTCAGGGTTTCAAGCGGAGCCGTGCAGCATGGTAGGAATTCTGAAGAGGGTTCAATGTCTCCCCTTCTCAGCACTGTGGAGAGTGGCCAGACCCAGACCCCTGCAAGGATATCTAAAAATCAGATCCCCTACATAGAGCCTTATATAATCCCTATACTGTAATTGCCCATAGAATTCTGGCAGATCTAATTTTTAAATTGTTTTGGGGGTCTGGGGAAGGGTTTCGGATCAGGGTTCCGGGCTCAGGGTCTGGGAGTCGAGGCTGACCTTCCCGAGCCTATTTCAAGTCCCTGGTGCTTAGGAGGGAATGGTTTAAGGTTTAGGGTTCAGGGTTATTTGGGGTCCCTATATAGTCCCTAAACCCTAAACCCTAAACCCTAATCCCTAATAATAATCCCTATACTCCATTCCCCTATTCCCTTCTAGGCACCAGGGAGTCGACTAAAGTCCATAAAAAAAAAGCGTCCTTACGCGGTTTAGGGTTTAGGGTTTAGGATCGAAGGCAGGGTTGAGGGTTCAGGGTTTAGATTGGGTACTGCCCCCACTCTGTAACAGTGGGATAACATCTATAATGTAGTTCTATATAGCCCTTAATATGACCCCCAATATAGACTGTTAAGGGGTTGGGGCAGCACTCAAGGTTTAGGCCAAGTGGGATTGCCACTGGCTTCCCTAAACCTTAAACCCTTAACTCTAAACACTTAACCCCTTCTGGCAGGAATTCTACAAGGCCCTTCCTCAGTACAAGAACCTGGATTTCTTCATCTTTGGTGAGTCCTACGCCGGCCACTACGTGCCTTCGGCAAGCTTCCTTGGAGGCTTCAGGGGTAGCCCGTACTTGGGAAAATCACTTGACATCAAGTTAAGATTTCGAAGGCTGACAAACATGAGAACCAAATTAGAATCATACTAGAATCGAATTGCAGAAACTTCTAATCAATATAGAAATAGAAAGACTAGTTAAATCCTAAATGCAATCGTACTAAAACCCACTGAAATGTAATTCAAGCAAATCGACATCAGCAAAAAACCGACTAGTTTAAACTCTAATTGGAACTTGCTTTAGATTTAGGTAATATTGATGGAACATAGAACTAAGCTCAATGAGAATTCAGTTACCATTCACTAACGTCGCGCTATGTCGCATTCATATTGCATACACAATCCCTGTGTAAATCCTACGCAAACGCAATAGAACACCAAGGATACCAAAGGGATCCCTGCATTCCTTTTAACTCCTGAGTATAACCTCCCTGGTGACCTCAGAACTCCCCCTAATAAGTTGATTAACTACTTTAATTAGAAATTCAAGACTTCATCAACTGAGACTAGTTGATTAGTAGCCCCAAATCATTATTAGGCGGTTCCATTCAAGAGGAATCTTGTCCATTTTCAAAAGTGCTTTTCAGAAATTTGAGGCCCCGGCATTCAGTATTTGATATTAGGCAGGGTTGCCTACAGGGGAGTTGATACCCTAAACCCTAAACCCTAAACCCTAAACCCTGGTTCTGGAGTTGGGCTTAGATTTTAGAAGGCTTCTGGGTGCGGGAGCGTTGCCAAGGACGTGGCAGTCATGATCAGTTATACCGGTTTGTGGCCCTAGACTTCCGCAGGGTGGCCCTGCTAAACGAATCCGCCATTCTTAGGGTGCGCGGTTTAGGGTGTGGGAGTGGATATTGCGGATGATTACTTTTGGGTGGCCTATTCAGGCCGTTAAACAGCTCACCTCCAGATTCTCTACGGTACCATGTATTATTTTCCAACACAAAAGAAGATCCAGGGGTCATAGATTGAGGGTATATGATCCCCACCTGAATGTGCATCCCATGGAACTCTGCTTGGGCGATCTTTCTGTTTCTGAGCTCAAACCCTAATCCCTGATCCCTAAACCCTAGTCCCTAAACCCTCATTCCCGTCCCGGAGTCCATGAACCTTAAAAGATTCAACCTGGACCCTGAATCCGACACAAAGCCCAAACCCCCCTAAGCCTAAACGTTACTTTAGGGTTTAGGGTTTCGGGATGAGTGTTTAGGGTTTAGGGAATAAGGCAATGTAAGGCCTATGTAACGCCTACAATGTTATTCCCTTATTCCCTAGTATCACCAGTAAGTTCCTGTAATTCAAGCCCTGAGCCCTAAACCCTAATTAAGCCCTGTATAAGATATTCCTTCATGCACTACTATCCCCCAGTAAGTTCCTGCACTAAGCAGTAGGTTGCTAAGGCACGTTCAGGGCAGATGAATTGCTTCAAGCTTTTTTGCCTAAGCCTTGAATTTGTAAAGGGTTTAGGGTTCAGGGACGCACCCTAAACCCTAAATGCCTAAGCCTTAAAAACCCTTAACCCTAAATCCCGAAACCTTATAAACCCTAAACTCTAAATCCGTAAACCTCATAAACCCTAAACCCTAAATCCCTAAGCCTCATG